AAGAATGTATGCAGTATGTTAGTTATTGAAACTGTCCTACTGATTTGATTTGAAACTGTCTCATTGCTATCTGTTTATCAATAAAATTATGAAAAAAAATTATAGCAAATTTGGAAAGCAGAAAAGTAAAAGAGAAGAAAAATGGTGTTCCATCCTACTTTGAGGAAAAAAGTGTGAACATCTTGAAATACTTTATTTTTTGGTGAAAATATGAAGATTAAAAGCTGTTTTCAAAAATTGTTTATGGGCTGGGGCTGTAGCTCTTTGGTACAGTATATGCTTAGGACCAGCTGGGTTCAGTCCCAGCACACACGCACACGCGCGCGCACACACACACACACACACACACACACACGAAAGCATATTTAATTGTTTTGCCCAGCTGTTAGCATACAATAGATTAAAATGACTCTTGTGTTATTCTTTTTCCCTAAATATATCCTAAACATCTCTCCACTTTATTATGAACTTTTTTTTGCTACAGTGAGGGGTCCACAGAGGTCTTTTCCATAAAAGAATGGGCCCACCCCTGCTTTGACTGCCACTCCTGGGTCCAGGCTGGCGCAGCAGGACGAGTGCATAGCCCATGCTGACGGCTGCTGGAGTCTGGGGCTGCTGGCTGGCTATTCTGGCTTAATAGTGCAAAAGAAATAGTGGCCCCAAGACATTTGTTAAATTAGTTTGACTCATGTCAATTCTATCCATCCCCCAAAACACTTAATGAAAGTGTTACAAACTTCTCCAGCAGAGGGTGATAGTTGTTTATTTCTAGATAGAAATCTTAGTCATGCAGTTTGCCTCTGGTTACTTTGACAAAATCATACTTGCTTTTCTTATTTATTTATCTATCTATTATTTGGTACAGGGTCTCACTACACCATTCAGACTCACAGTAATCCTCCTGTCTCAGCCTACCCAGCACGGGGATTACAGCCATGCATTTGTTTTTCAATCTTGAGAATAAAAGAAACCAACTTAGCAGGCTATACGGTAAAGTTAGTTAGATATGGTTTAGCTGAGGTTGTGAGAGGAATAATCTCATAAACACACTTACTTGCTTATTTTTCTATTAAACAATAGAGCCAATTGACCTCACAGTGTGCTGTAATATCGCACTCTGATTTTCACTCCTGGGGTGGACAGGAGTAGAGGTAAGACTAGAGGGCAGGGGGCTTCCCCCTCAGCCCTTGGAGCACTAAGGGAAATCTTCTGTTGGCAAGGGCTGTCCTGTACATTGTAGGAACTGAAATAGCATCCTTGACTCTACCTACTAAAGCTAGTTATGCTCTGTCCCTCACTGTGGCAATCAAAAATGTCCCCTCAGAGAGAAAGACAAAATTACCCTCAGTTAAGAATTACTGACCTACACATAATCTAGACCAATAAGTTTAGCAAATATATTCTTAAAAGACCAAAAATAGGGGCTGGGGAGATGGCTCAATGGAATAAGAGCTTCCCTGGCAAGCACAAAGGCCTGAATTCAATCCCCTGTTCCGCCAAAAAAAAAAAAAAAAAGACCCAAAATAAAGTTTACCAGATATTGTATGGGTGCTACTGACGACATCAGAAATGAGCTTTCTCGCAGCCTGGAGCTCAGTATTCAAGAGCACTGCTTACTGAGACCTTTCAAGCGCCGAACTGAAAGCTGTTCATGTTCCTATAGGCCAAATCCCAGCTCAGAGCAGAACTCAGAACTGTGAAGCTTCACCCAGAGGTCACCCATATCCAGAGAGGTCATCCCATATTTAGAGAGAAATGGTTTCAATTAAGATATCCAAATGGCAAAAGATGAAGCCTCTTCATAAGATCCTGCCTTGCTTACGTCTTTTGAATAAACATTCCCCAAAGGCCCTTCTTTTTTTTTTTTTTTTAATACCAGGGATTGAACTCAGGACCTTGTGCTTGCCAGGCAGGTGCTTATGGCGCTGAGCTCTCAACTAGCTCCCACAAAGGCCCTACTGTGGATGGCTTGGTTTAGTCTGTGGTGCTACTGGGAGGTGGTAGAGCATTTACAAGGTGGGCCCTAATGGAAGGCAGGTAGGTCACCAGGAATGTGTCCCTGCAGGGCATTTTGGCCCCAGCTCCTTCTCTCTTTGCTGATTGCCATGAAGCCAGAAATTTCCTTCACCACTTGCTCCCCACAGGCTGTGCTGCCTCACTACAGAACCAAGAGCAAACAGCCATGGACTAAAGCCTCCAGAACTATGAATCAAAATAAACCTTTCCTCTTTATGAGCAGATTATCTCCGGTATTTGTTACAGAGAGGGAAAGCCACTCGACACTTTGGACATCTATGTTTCTGACCCCCATGTTCCATAGTTGGGTCTCTGGCCTCAGGGAAGAGTGGGAGGGCAAATTCTTACTTCTAATTACAGCTCATACTGCACTGCTCAAGACAACTAATTCCTCCAATTTGTCCTAACCAGAGCAACTAATCAAAGTATCCTCCAATAAAACATGAAAGATTTTTCTCTATTTTGTTTGGTTGCATTCATCTCACTTACAGATGAGGTTACTAAATGATGATGTCCAGATCTCACAACTAGAAAGTGACAGACACAGGACCCAAACTATGGAAACAGAGAACTGCCCCTGACAGGAGGACTTGACCCTCAGGCACTGACACAGTGCTGAGGACTCAGGATAATTCTCTGGGTTCACAAAATGATTTCATGTCTATTTCTTTTAAACCAGAAGAATTTCACTATAAAAACTAAAATTTCATTTAAATTAGAATTTTAACTGACTATATAACATGAAATTAGATCTATTCCACACATGTGCACACTGTGAGATGTCCACATAGGATTAAGTATACATATCTTCTCAAACCTTCACCTTGTCTTTATGGTTAAAGCATTAACAAATCCTTTCTTCAAGCTTTGTGGAGCGTGCATGACATAGTTCTTACAGTCTCTCACCAGGACTTTTGCTCCTGCCTGCTACTCAGTACCCCTGACCAATTTTCTCCATCCCTCCCTGCCTCTGGTAACTGCCATTCTGCGCTCGACTTCTGAGATCATCTTTTCTAGGTTCCACGTGAGTGAGATCATATTTGTGTATTTGTCTTTCTGACTTGGCTTAACATGGTAATTAATGCAGTGATACTGAGTTTCATCTATGTTGTGGCAAATGACAAAATGTCATTTTTTTAAGTGGATGAATAGTAAAAATAAAATAAAATAAAACTGTTAATTTTTTATGGAGGAAGGAACCCCCGAAAGCCAAGTTTCCTAGGGCCCACTATGTCATCCTCAGGTCTGATTATGCTGTGCTGTGTTCAGGGAGTACAAGTAAAGCTGATATTAATCCACTTGATATACACCCAGTCTCAGGTTAGCAACATCGGAACAAGAGGAAAAATATTAAAGTGCATGTTGTATATTATGAGGTCAGTGGTATCATTTTCATATATTCACTTAATAAACATTAAAATGCCTTGATACAATTTTTTTTTAATTTAAGATATTGCTGGGGCTGGGGAGGTAGCTCATTGACAAAAGCACCTGCCTGGCAAGTACAAGGTTGTGAGTTTGATTCCCAGTACCAAAAAAAAAAGATATTGCTAACTTTTTTTATTAAAAAATGTATTAACTCCCAATCATGAAAAATGGAAGAGGTTTTTTTTTTTATGTTCTAGGTGTTGAAACCTGGTCCTTCAATATGTTAGGCAAGTTCCCTACCATTGAGCCACACTTGTAGTCCCTTGAAAAGGGAGTTTCTTTTCAATTCTATCCCAAATCTGTGGGTCACCAGGACCCCTTCATTTCCATCCTTGATGGTGGGGACAGTAGGGAAGCCAATCACCTTCAATCGTTTTACTGCACCCTCTCTATACCAGCTAAAGGTAACCCATGTCTTAGTCAACTGGGACTAACAAAATACTATGGTCTGGGTGGCTTCAGCAGACATGTAAGTTGGCAGCACGGCTGAATCCTGTGAAGGCTGTGTTTCCTGGCCTTCTCCTTGTGCCCTCACACTTCTGGTGCCTCAGCTTCCAACCAGGAGAACACCCGTTCTGTCAGACCAGGGCTCTACCCCTAGGACCTCATGTTACCTTGATGAAGGCCACAAAGGCCCCGCTTCCAAATACAGTCACGTGGTGAATTGGAAATCCAGCATATGAATTAGGGTGTGGAGTGTGGGCACAGTTCAATCTATAGCAAGTGAATTGCTCAGATAATTTAGGGTGGGTATATTTTTAGTATTTAATTGAAAAGCAAACCAAGGAGGAAGGGTGGAATTCTTTGTGTATTCTATCTAAAACCTTACCTCTTCTCTGGTTCCAATTAATTCAGAATATAATGACATCATGCACTGTTCACAATCTCTTCTCTCATTACTGGAATTGGTGAGTAATAGAGGTTATTTTTGTTGGAGGTGTGGTGGATATCTTGAGTTTGGTTCCATTTCTTGACTGGAGTTTGATCTAGGCTTTTTCCTTCTTCTTTTCCACCCTGAGAATAGAAAAAGGCAGGATTCCTGCCTAGCAAGGGCAGCAAACTAATTGTTTAGGAAAAAAATTCAATTGACTATTCCATTGAGCAGCTTACCATTTCTTAGTTGTCTCTGCCACTAAGCTGTATTTTTCCACCACTGACTCAGACTTTGAAGAGTCCTTTTTAATGGAAACATGAATAGAAATAAGTTTTTCAAGAACACTAGGCTGGGGCACAAAATTATATTGCCATTATATTTTATTTGGTTTTATTTTTAATTTCAATTCTCCAAGCACATACTTCCTCCTGCCTGAATGCTTCCCCTTCTGACATTAGAATTTCTTTTTAATTTAAGATTCCTAATACTTAATTGGAGACAGCCCTCTCCCAGGCATCAAATCTAGTCATCGAGTCACTCTATCCTATTGTTCCATTTGAGTACTCTTCATAGCACCTATAACTCTGGCTTTCTTTCTTTTTTCCCATCCTTTCCCCCTCATTGTTCCTGGTCTACTTTCTCCCACCCTGAGGCTCTCTTCTCCAAGTGACAGTTTTCAACCTTGAACCCTTGCAGCTACCTGTCTTTTCCATCAGGGTACAAGGGCATGTCTGGCATAAAAAGGTGCTCAACAATTATTTGTGGGAAGGAGGAATGGAGGAAGGAAGGAAAGAAGGAAAAGAGAGAAAAAAACAGAAACAAACAAACAGAAAGAGAAAGTCGGTCTCTGTCAATAGGAGAAGTCTTTTTATTTTGGTTCAGCAGTTTCATTCTTGTGTGGTGAGCTCTTCACAGTCAGCAAGCGGACTATAAAAAGAACCAAGGGCAAGGAGAAAGAATTCTTAATGATGACTGAGAGAAACAATGACAAATCAGAAAAGCAAGAAGCAGCATTGTGCTATGGTTTGGATCTAAGATGCCTTCCAAAGCCTATGTACCTACTGATGGAGCCTTAGAAAGATGGTGGGATTGTGGAGACTTGCAGCTGATTTGCTGTTAGGAGAAGAAGCCTGGCTGGGGGGGTGGGGTAGGTCACCAGGTATGGCCTGGAGGGGTACACTTCATGTCCTCTTCCTTTGTCCTCTTCTTTTTGCCTATCACGCTGAGACAGGAGATTAGGGTATGACAAGCTGGATGGGGAAGCAGGCATGGTCCGTTAAGTGCAAGATCCCAGAGCCCTGTGCAGAACAGTGCCCATAGCCCTGCATGTGGACTTCTGAGAATCGGAGCAGGTCTTCAGTGGGATGGCCTAGACCAGATGTCAGCCAGAGGCGTGGGGCCCCAGCACCACCTCTCAGGATGGACACGTACAGACTCATGCAGGCTGTATGTGGGGGTGTAGATGAAAGGACACAGGTGCCCAGAACTCACTAGCAGGGCTTTCCTCACCATTTCATGCTGTGTCCTTTTATCTCGTTTGTCCCTCTTTTATTGAGCCTCAGCTTGCCATCTGAAGAACCAATTTCTCCTTCATTCTTCACATTTGCTTTCTCAAATAAGCTTTGTTATCACTTTTTTGATCATTTTGTTCAAGTCTTTGTGTGGAACAACAAAAAAAAAAAACCATTGAATTCAACTCCAGAAAGAGATGTAAGCACCAAAACCCCAATATCATTTATTTGGTGAACAATGTTTAGAAAGAGCTAGCCAGTAGCATGAGCTGGTGTACCCAGGCAGGAGGCAGCCGGGTAAGGCTGATGGATGCACTTTTGTTGCTCCCTAAAATGTCACAAAGTGTAAACATAAGAATTATA